ACCCTTTAATCCATGGAAATTGGGCGTTACAGCAGTTTCCAGTCGATATCCTAAGGAATACAGTGACTCTCACTCCCGGATGCCGAACCAGCCAAAGGAAGCCTGGAGTAGGAGCTTCGTCAGAGTTCCTGAAACCCTAACCAAGCGGAGGCCATCCCCTGAGCTGAGGATGCAGTACCTTTATGACAGTGACCCCAGAGCCCTCTGACATCCCAAAGCATCTCTCAATTCACTAGCATTCAGCTTGTTGGAACACTGCAGTCCTCCACTGTGTGTGTGTCTGTCTAAGGTCGTGCGGCTAGTGCAACGCTGATGCCCACAGACAAGAAAGTCCCCTTCTTCAGCCAAGGGGTCTACTTCGTAGTTTGCTGTAAATCTGCGAGCTGCCATCACCTAAGGGGTTATCTTATCTCCACTTACAGATGAGGCGGAAGGCCCATCAGTCTTTCCCCAGAGCCCAGGGCAAAAGAAACTCAGCTTCTCAGACCGACCTTTAAGAGCTCTGGACATTTCCTCAAATGAAGGATGATCCTCTGTCCTTGGAGGTTAGGGTCCTCTGGCACCAACTAGAAATACTATTAAAAAATATTTTCTTCTTTCTTAGTTGTAAAAAGGACAATTAAGCCACAGAAATGTGAACATTACAGAAAGTAGTATAAGTCAGCATCATGCAGAAAGAGAGTGCTGAGGAATTCGCAATATTTGGAAGTCAGCAGTTACCAGTTCAAGATAGTTCTTGTAAATGCTCAACCACTGGAAAACTTTCAAAATGCCAGGCAGCCATGGTTTCTAGACGAAAATATTTAAAAAAATAATAAAAACCCTCTCTCACTTCTGATAACATCTCAACTTACTAAATAATGGAGAGCTTTTTGCCCCGCATTGGACTCACTTCCTGGAAACTGGTAAATACCAGACCACAGAGCTTGACTAATGGCTGCTGGACATGGTGCCACAGTGTGTGTTTGCACAACCGGCTCACGTGGGAAAGACCCACATGTCTGGTCCTCACGTCAATGTCTCTGGACCTGAAAATCACCAGAAAAGGGAGGCAAAGGAGGCCAAAGACGGAAGTGGTCAGGCAGGACTGATGAGGGAGAGAGCTGAAAGTCGCCAGATTAAGGGAAAAGTTCAGCCATCTGTGAGGAATCCAAGTTTTCTTTTCTCAGAATCAAGGCAGGAAGGGAGAAACCACTGGCCTTTGAATTGAAAGACCCAGATTCAAGTTCTACTCAGCCCTGGACCTCCCCGAGCTGACTGCTCCTCAGTGAAATGCACAAATACTTAATGAGTGGAAGGTGAAGAGGCAGAAAGATATTTGGGAAAATGTTTCAAATGCTTTTAAGTGCCACACAGGCGAAGAGGTTTATCATGAGAAAAGATGCCAAGATGGTGTGCATGTTATTACTCACAATTCTTTCATTCTTAAGTGCAAACCAGTTCAGGCAAAAAAGGAATCTTCTGGTTCAGATGATGGGGGCAGTGGTTACCAGAGCTAATCAAATATCCCATTTCTTTTTCTTCCTGGTATGTGGCAGGACTGAAGTGCTCTGCCCCCTTTAAAGCTAGGAGTCACCATGTGACTTGCCTGTCACTTCTGGGCAGAAACTTTAAGAGCAAGGCTGCCATCTGCCACCTTCCCTCATCCCACCTCAGGGATTGTGGAGGCACATGTTGAGATGAAGGTCCCATCGCCCTGGGCCTGAGTGACTACGGTGAGCAGGAGTTGCCCTCCGTCCCCAGCTTTCATTGGCTGTGCAGCCAAAGTAAACTTTTGTCATGATGAAAGCCACTGCCACTTGGGACTGTTTGTTACTGAGGCATAACCTTGCACTGACTGCATTTCCTTAGTTTCTGTTTTTTTTGTGTGAGGAAGATTGTCCCTGAGCTAACATCTGTGCCAGTCTTCTTCTATTTTGTATGTGGGATGCCTCCACAGTGTGGTTTTCATGAGTGCTGTGTAGGTCTGCCCCCAAGATCCGAACCCGTGAACCCCAGGCTGCTGAAGCAGAGCATGCAGAACTTACCCACTATGCCACCAGGCTGGCCCCTTATTTTCTCTATTCTTTTTAATTTTAATTTTTTTTATTTTGGTGAGGAAGATTGTTGCTGTGCTAACATCTGTGCCAATCTTCCTCTATTTTGTATGTGGGACACTGCCACAGCATGGCTTGATGAGCAGTATGTAGGTCCATGCCCAGGATCTGAACCTGCAAACCCCAGGCTGCTGAGGCAGAGCATGCAAACCCAACCAGTACACCACCGGGCTGGCCCCTATTTTCTGTATTCTTGATGCTCTGGCATTTGGGGCCTTGGTCCTGGAGAGACTGCCCTTCCCAGGGGTAGCTAACAACTATCCAAAACATGCCTTTGATACACAGATCAACAAATCCACAGCCACACCCCCAACCATGTTGTGTTTTTTTTGAGGAAGATTAGCCCTGAGCTAACATCTGCTGCCAATCCTCCTCTTTTTGCAGAGGAAGATTGGCCCTGAGCTAATGTCCATGCCCATCTTCCTCTATTTTACATGTGGGACACCTGCCTTAGCATGGCTTGATAAGCAGTGTGTAGGTCCATGCCTGGGATCCAAACTGGTGAACCCTGGGCCGCCGAAGTGGAATGCACGAACTTAACCACTGTGCCACCGGGCCAGCCCCTCAACTATGTCTTTTATCAAACTCTTCCACACCAAGGCAATATTCCCCCTGCCCTGGGTCACCCCAGGACCAGGTACTGGACAACCAGGGACCATTCCGGTAGCCCAGAGCCCGCCAGAATTCTTCAAACTGTTGAACCCTAAACTTACTCAGCACACCTACGCTGCCTCACCCATTCCTTCCTGTGAACACCCCAATAAAGGCCCTGCGCCATCTTCTCCCCGGCCCTCTCTGACCCCTGACCAGCCTGGTCCTTCCCTATGTGACCCTGCGTGACGGGCTGTGCCTCCCGTTTCTAGGATCTGTAATATAAACTTCTTCCTCTACTACAATCATTTCTGTGTTTGTGTGTCTCACCACTCCTGATACAAACAAATCCTGGGTACATTTTAACACAAGCCAGGTCCATCTTGACCGATAGGCTAGGAGGACAGAATTGGCATCAGACACACTGGATTTCCCCCTCCTCTCCCCAGCCTCTGCGTAGCTCTGCTCTGGGCTAGCCTCTCCCCATGCAGACAGGCTTTCTCTGTGCGGCAGGAAGGTGGACCGAGCATCCTGGCTTTGCTATCAGAGCTCAGAGGCAGGAGGTGGTCTTCTCTGCTGATTCCAGCAGAAAAAGCCATAGAGAAAGACTCAGATTGGCCCAATTTGAGTCATGTACAGTCCTGGGACAATCTCTGTGGGACATAGGGATGGATCAGTATTGAGCCACACACTCACTCCTGTGGCCATGGGTGGGAAATGCTGGGCAGCCAGGAGCACAGGCACCACCGAGATCTGTCCTGGCCCTTCTGTGGATGGAGTTTGGAAATCCAAACTGTGCCGCACCCTAAGGAAAGGACGGTTTGCAGAGAGCTGCTCATGACACAAAGTACTACTGGGAAAGCAGACAAGCACCAAATGAAGGAACTTCCTTTGAGATCAACAGGCAGTAAATAGGAGGTTTTTCTGAGACACGGTCAGGCCAACCAGAAACACGGTCTCTACAAACCCATCCTCCCGAGGAGCAGACAACAGACCCCTTGACAGCACCGAGGGGAGGGCAGCAGACGTTTACGGAACTTCCCCATAGTTATGGAACACCCTCTGTAAGCCACGCCCCCAGAGGTCCTGCTCAGGGGAGCCGGCTGGAGGAGCTCCGACTGCAAAGCCCCATGCGGGGCTCCCTGCTTCCAGTCACCCTTACGGAGGCCCAGCGGACAGGGACTGGACATCTTGGTCTGCGGTCCCAGCGAGAGGGAGGAGAGCAGACAGGGGACGAACTCACGACAAGGCCGAACACAACCTGAGGCGGGGACCAGGGGCTCTCGACCTGGAAGGAGCGGGCTGGCTTCCAGGGTCCACGAACTTGTCACTGAAGGTAAAAAGTGGAACGCTCACTTCCCACAGGAAGGATGCACAGCTTCCAGCAGATTCCCAGCGCCTACAGCCCCGAAGGATTCAGAACCGCCATCTTGCAGAAGGCAGCTCAGCTTCTGCGAGAGCAGACAGAGAGGAGCACTTTCCTAGTGTCTCAGGAGTAAATTTTCTCATCTCTACTTCGGTTCCAGGGTTTTCCAAATGGAGCTAAAGTCACAGGCTCCGTGTCCCTTGCAGAGTCCCGTGTGTTAGAGAGAAAGCTAGAAATCTGGGCCAAAGTCCTAATGAGGCCACTTCCCAGCAGGTGACTTGACCTCAAAGAGCTGATTCCTTCAAGGACAAAGGGAGGATAACAGTCACTGTCGCACCAACCCTCTGATGGTGGACGAGCAGTAGATGCACAGAGCTCTCTGCGTCACCGCCATTGGCGCTCGGAGCTAACGTCACCAGGCCCTTCCTGTGTGCCCTCACAGCGCTAAGTGCTCTTAGAGACGCTATGTCCTTTCATCTTCACAAAAGCCCCACAGAGCAGATACTGTTACCATCCCCATTTAATTAAAAAAACTGGGGGGAAGCAAGACCGAGAGGCCAAGCGCCTTCCCATGGAGCAGGGGCGCCCGCCCCCAGCCCTCTGCACACACCACCCGGGAAGCCGCCCAAACAGAGCGACCTGGACGGGGAGACCCCGACACACTGAGTCCCGACAATGCGCCAGGCACGTGACAGAGATGACCTCGTCGGGTTAAACCCTGAGGCGTGCTTCCATCACAGCTCTTGTAACAGGTACACCCCGACTGTCCACCTTGCTTTCTTTCGCTCTAGGTGACAGACACTCGGAAAGTAGTGAGAGTCGATGCCCGGTGTCAGGTCACACCTTGCTCACAGGCTTAGCTGCGAGTTAGGGAGCTGGGGTCACCTTTACGAACAAGCGGCAGCACCTCAGGCTGAGGACAGAAGCTACCAGAGCCCTGAGCAGAATCACGACCTTGTGGAACTGCTATTTATTTCCAATCCCTCCCACTTCCTCACCCCGGAGCGGCTGCCATCAATCACGGAAGGGGCCGCTGGCTGCACGAGGGGCCTCAGCACCCACGTCAGACCCCGACGCTGGAAGGTGGTCCAGCGGGCCCAGGGAGCTCGGGAAGGCACCAGACTTCAGCAGGGGGCCACACTGCGGTGGCCCTGCTCTGTGGGGTCTGCCTGGCTCCTCTGGCAGAGAGGCGGGAACTGCTGGCGTCACCCACCTGACTCCCAGCTGTGTCCCAGGCGTGGAAATGGCCCCATCAGAGCCACCGCTGGAAGGGAACTTATTAGACCAGCTCCACAGTTCGGGCCTGAACTTTCCATCAGCCACACAGAGGCGGCTGAAGAAGCAAATGTCCCCTTGGCTGCCCCGCGGGCAGAGTCGCACACAGGAGCCGGTCAGAGACGGAGGCTTCTGCTCAGCAGCCTCAGAAAGAGAAAGAGAAGCAGTGGGAGAATGGCATGGGCACAGCTGCTCCCTTCTGATCCAGCTGTGCCTTCCTGATGGCAGCCTGCCTCTGTCCCCACTGCCCTGCCTCCTCCCAGGGCAGCTGCGGCCCTGAGTGCTTCCTCGAGGCCGAGCAGTGGCCTGGGCTGGGCCAGCAGCTGGCAGTCACTTGTTGGCCACGGCAGAGAGCTGGTCTCGGATGCGGCCCAGCCCATCTAACATGGTGTCCAGCGTTTCCTTACTCAGCTCCATGGTGACCGCTGAGACAGAGGGCCCGTCTCCACACACACTGGGATCTTCCTGGATCTGAAAAGAAAAAGGGCCCCCAGTCAAAGCTGCCTCTTGTGCTCGCCCCGTGCTGGGGACCCTCTATGGAGGGGCTCCCTGCCCAGAGCTGCCAAGCGGCCCAGCCCTGGACTTCCAGCAAACGGGGCGAGCAAGGGATGTAGCTCATGGGCTCGGCCATTTCTGGCTCATTGGGTGCTCAGGGCGGGGACCAGGGACGCCCAGGCTCACTTGGCCCCAGGCCCCTCGCTCTCCGCGGTCAGTGGGAAGATAGCACAGGGGTCCACACTGGCACTGTACACAGCGGGCTCGAGGGGTACATAAGAATCTACTGGGAGGCAGGAAAAATATTACAACTTCTAGTTATATTTATTTGTATCTTTAAAAAAAAGTAAGCTTTACTAAAATTGAAAACTTGCTTGTTAGAGGCGCCCTTACACTTTCATTTTCCTACAGGTGCTGCATTTCTGGGTGTCTGGTAAAGCAAACACAGCATTTACATGATCTGGTTTTAACTAAACAAGCCTTAAAAATGGAGATGTGGCTTAAAAAGGTTCCTGAGAAGAACTGTAAAGTGAAGACAACAGCAAGGAGGCACAAGCATGGGCACAAGAGAATGAAGAACTGACGCTTCCCCAGCTGCTGAGAGGAGCTGCTCGTCAGCACCTACAGACGGCGAGAGCCCGGCCCCACTGGGCGAGAAGCTGGCCGAGGCAGACACGCTCAGGAGGGCAGCCTGACACCTGAACGCACGCCCTACTGTTGAAGCCAAACTTCCCTCTAAGTGTGGAAGGTACCTTTCAGGTATCACAAATTATTTTTAAAGTTTATGCTTTGTGTTTATCATTTAAAATTTATTTCAGCCCATGCTGTACCCTATCTACGTTAATACAGCAGTACACACACACTTTGTCAATACTGCATTTAGGGGTGCTAAATGCTTCTCGTAGAGATCCCTGAACTTTGGAGACTGGGACTCTTGATGGCCTGCAGGGGTGCCGAGTCACTGCTGTCCCATCTTTTTTTGTGTGTGAGGAAGATTGGCCCTGAGCTAACATCTGTTGCCAATCTTCCTCTTTTTGCTTGAGGAAGATTGTCACTGAGCTAGCATCTGTGCCCATCTTCCTCTATTTTATGTGCGATGCTGCCACAGTGTGGCTTGATGAGCAGTGCTGGGTCCATGCCTGGCATCTGAACCTGTGAAGTCTGGGCTGCTGAAAGGGGAGCGTGTGAACTTAACTACTACGCCACTGGGCTAGCCCCCGCTTCTTTCCTTCTAAGCAGCGTGACGAGGATGTACCTTCATCTGGAGCAGGCAGGTGGGCACGGCCATGCGGCTGATGCTGTCTGAAGCGGTTTTGATATCCACTCTCCAGTCCAGGTCGACCAGGCGTGGCAGAGAGACTGTGGAGGGGACAGTGGCGCTCAGAGCTTGCGCCCCTGCGTGTCTGAGCCTCTGCTCTCTGACAGGCAGCTCTCGGGGCTGTACGTGCGTAATGCATCTGATCCACCCAGCCAGTCTCTGAGGGAGATGGCCAGACGGCACCCAGGACCCTACAGCGCGTCAGGGACCTCACTCAGCACCGCGGGGTGCCGCCTGCACTAGCACTCAGCGATGGCTTCTGCCTGAACACCCAGCCCTCCAGATGTCAGGTGGGAATGAGAAATGACATAAGGAGGAGAAGAGGAGGTCGTGGCTCAAGTCTTAGGGAACGTGCAGCAGTGACGACAGTGGAAAGCTTTGGTTTGAGAGACATGCAGGCTTGAATCCAGGTTCCACCGCTCGTCTCACCTCCAAGCCTGTTTCTCATCTGTAAAAGGGGTCACCCTGGCCTCGCTCACAGGGTTGCTGGGAGGACTAAAGCAACTGATGCAGGGAGAGTTCGCCAGCATTGTGGCTGGCTTCAGCACTGTCACTGACAGGGTTAGTGACCATTTATTAAACACCCACTTTTACTCAACCTTTCAAATTAATTTCAATTATGGTTAATTTTTTTCCTCATTGAAATATACTTATTTTAACTACTTCACTTTCTGCTTTGGACATTTCTGTTGTTTTTTTAAACAATAAGTTTTATATTATATTAAGTTTACAATGAGAAAAAAATTAAAAAATAGAATTAAAAAGACAAACACAATGACACTGCTTGGTCTGAGATTAGAATCACTCACTTTGAGTTTCACTTCAAAATTCGGGCCCCGGCAGATTGAGAGCTGGGCTGGGAGGGGCAAGGAGGAAGAGGCGGGGCTCCGGGTACTCACTCTGGTTTGCTTGGGTTTCACTTCTCCAAGTAGATCTGCATCAGAGGGAAAGACGAGGAAAAAAGAACGGAAAGAGATGAGAAGGGGGTCTCCTGATAAGGAGGGAGGCCTCTGCCCTCTGTGATCTTCAAACATGTAATCACCTCCTGGCAGGAAAGGACCACAGCAACGCCCCCTCCAACAAGCCGCTGTTGTTTGTTTACTGTACAAAGCTCAGTGATGCGAGGGCTGTAAATGCCGTTGGTCAGTTTTCACGGCTTTGGGCAAAAAAGGAAAGCTTCACGCACTGTAATCTTATCTTGCTATCGTCCTCAGAGACAAAACAGAAAAGGTCAACCTGTTCTCTTTTTGCTGAGCATCTACCAGACAAAGTACTGCATCTTACACAAAAGACACCCAACCGGATCTAATGCCACAGCAAACAGCATCACAGTGCAAGCAGAGGCAGGGTAAAACGTGGTCACGGAGGAGAAAGTTTCTAAACAAACAAGACCCTTGGTAACTGGCATTATCGGTCATGACCATCAGAGAGGTCTTTCGAGCCTGCTGCTGACCCGCAGTTCACCAGTTCTGCTTAAACTGTACGTGTCTAAAAGGATTTGCCCAGTCAGAGAATACACAGATAATTCACAAAAGAAATCAACATGACCGGTACACATATGAATAAGATATTCGACGTGGCGAGTATCAAAGACACAAATTGAAATGAGGGATCATTTGCCATTTGGGAAGCTGGGAAACAATGTAAAAGAGTTCCCTCAGTGCTGGTGAAGGCGTGGGGAGAGCGGCACACGCCCGTCCTGCTGGGAACAGCTGCTGCATCTTTCCAGTGGTCGACCTGCGCCGGTGAAGCCAAAGCCTCCGCACGCGCCTGGCTTCGACCAGTCAGGCAGTGACGACGCTGACGAGCAGAGTTCCCACGGTACACTGCGCACCGAGGGGAACCTGCCAGTAGCCCAAGGAATGTCTGAATTCGACATGAGTTCTCCATAAAATGGAATATATTTAGCCATTAAATATGATATTGAAGATAAATACTCATTGACCTAAAAAATCATTAACATTAATACTTTTAATTGAAAACAAGCAAGTTATAAAATGGCGTGACCCTATTGTGTTAAAAACAATTTTCAAGAAGACACGGACCTCCCTCTACGTGTAAATAGAATAAAGGAGTCTGGGAGGCTTTCCACGCAGGAATGAACACCGCTAGCCCTCCGCGTGGCAGGACGAGGGTTTGCCTCTTTTTGCTTACCTGTGTTTTCCAACTTTTCAATAATGAACATATTATTTCTAGAACAGAAAAAAAAAATATAAGCATCACAAGGAACTCAAGAAATGAGCACTCACACGTGTTCCAGGATGATTTTCGTCAGCAGGTTTTTGAGGTTCTGGTGGAAATTCTCAGGAAAGAGAGCCAGAATCGCCTCGGCCGAGGACAGGTCACGGAAGGCAGCCAGCCTGGTGAGGCGGTGCAGAGCCTGGAGCAGCTGCAGGACAGAGCCAGAGTGGAGCCCTGAGTGCTGGGGAGGGGCGGGGCGGGCGGGGGCAGGGCTCTACCCCCCGCTGCTGGGAAGAGGGCCTGCCACACACTGCCACCGTCCTTCAACAGAGGCCCATGAGTGTGAGGCCTGCATCGCAGACGCCGACGCCCACGGGCCTCGGACACAGGCCTCAGCTGCTCCGAGTCCATCTGCCGCTGTAGGAGACAGATGCCGCCCCCTGACACAGGAAGCTGTCACCCTGCCAGAAGCTCTCTTCCTAGGGGCCAAGGGTTAACAAATCCCCTTTCCTTGTGCAGAGACTCTGACCTTCAGTTAACTTGCTAGCCTGTTCCCCTGGTAGCCTGAGAGAAGTGGAGAGTCAGCTGTGTCACGAGGCAGCACTGCCGGGGTCCCCTGCCTCGGACTGGGAGACCGCACAGAGCCCCGCGGGGCCCACAGCTTTCGTGGGCTTCCCTGAGTGCGGCTGCTCGCTCCTCCCTAGAACCTGGAGCTGCACTTACTGAGCTGTTACCAGAGGTAACAACTGGCTCCCGTAGGTTTCGGCTTTGAATCCACGGTGGTAGGAGCGTCATGTCCCTGCCCTAGGCTGTCACCTGGGAGGGCAAAGAGAACAAACAGCCCCAGGCTGGCTGTGTGGACTCCGTGTGGAAGAGGAGTGCCTGGCCCTGCCGTGCTAAAAGGCTGTGTTCCACCCTAGGTGCTTCTAAGGGAAGCTGTAGCCAAATGTGGCCTGTGGGCTCCTGTGACAACGATGCTTAGCAGAGCTAAGAAGACCCTGGAGTAACCGCCTCTGCTTTGGGGCTTTCTCTGATGCCACGGAGGCTGCTTGGCTGCAGACAGTACAACCCAGAGGTGAGGGGATGCTCATCCCGTACCCACGAGGGGTGCGGGTTAGTGGACAGATGCCCCAGCCTCCCCACCCTCCAGGGGACAATTCTCGGGCGTGCTCCTCATGGTTTCTTACAGGATCCCGAGGCTGAGCCCCCGTTGCCCGCAGCAGCAGCCACTCATTAACAGACCTTTTTGTTAGCTTGTCTGTCTCCCTGCTTGATTGTCTGCTCTCCCTCCTTTGGGCTTTCTAGAATCATCTCCCAAATAACTACCTGCATGCAAGTCTTTGCTTCAGGGTCTACTTTTGAGGGACCCAAACTAAGTCCCCAAATCACTTCCACAGTCTTGCTCCTGCCTTTGACTCTTCCACAGATGACTTCAATGAAAAAGTTCGGATTAAAAAAGTAGTAACAACAACACAGGCCCACGTGGATGGACTCCTGTCTCAGAGGGGAGAGGAGAGACGAGGCTGTGAGAGACAGCCTGAGTCGCCGTGCTTTTCCTCTTGGCCGCCAGCTGAGGTCAGCTGCGGTCCAGCAGCACGTGCTCCCTCATTGTGCTCAGGGCTCAGAGCTCCTGCCCAGGGGCCCCTGGAAAGTCTGCCTTAACAGCCAGCCGACAGTTATCAGCATCGGCAAGTTGCAAGTTGGGAAAGAAAATCACCAAAAGGTTGGCTTTTGTCCACACTGAAGGTAACAATCCTGAAAAGGAAATGGTCAGGAGCTCTGATTCTGGGATAGCTTCTGCCATCCATGCCTCTCTTATCAAAAGGAAGTGACAGTTCAAAGACAATAGCTTTTAAGTTCATTAACATTAAAAAAATCTATTTTAAGTTTGCTATAATGTCAACTCACATTGCAGGGGACACATTTCCTCGGATGGGGCAATGCCTGGGAAGTCAGGAAAGAGACTGACGAGTTGAGAGTCCAGGGGTTAAAGGTCATTTCTGACCACACTTACCTGCTTGGCCTCCTCCTGGGTCACAGACAAGCTGGAACACGTAATATCCAAGAGTTTTTTCGAGCCAAGGGCTGAACTGGAAAAGCTCTCTTGGCACAGCTGTCTGACAACATCTTTCGAGGAGGCCTATGATTTAATTCACAGATGAAAACAAGGAACAAACTCAGACTCTGGAAATACATGTGTTAGAACATAACATTGTCTCAGGAACAGTGTGACACCTTTGAGATTCAAGATTAAAAGTGCAGAGGACACTCTATGTCTAATGGAGTGGATGTACTTTTCCTTATTCTTCCTGTTAAGCACAACTGAAATTCCTGGGCACTAGACAGAAAACAAACATAACAGGAGTCTGAAAGCAGAGAGGAGAAGACGGACCTGCCATGGACCTCACAACCAAGGAATGAGATGGTGGAGAGTTCCCTGGGTTTTCTTTTTGGGCATCTATCCCAGACTTGGAGCTGAAGAAGAGAGCAACCCAGAATGCCAATGGGGGCAATAAAAAAAGCTCCAACACACACCACTCTCTCCAACCAGAGGACCAAGAGAGGCACAGCTTAGCAAGACAGAAAACTTTTAGACAATAACTGCTCGACTCCAGGAAAACACCACAGAAAGAACTGCATTCCCCACTGTCACTTCACATCAGCAAAAGCTGAGTGGAGAGCCTAGACTTCTACCCTTGTGACGCTGTAACAAGGTGTCCCAACACTCCTGCTGGAGCTGTGTCAGAGAAGGCCACGCAGGGAGCTGGAGCTTCATCTCCACCAAGCAGTAGCAAGCCCCACCACCTCACGGCACTAGTGCAGACTAGATGGAGCAAGCACTTTTACCCCTGCCCAGTGGTGACAAGGAACCCCAAATTTTAGGTGTCAACAGGAGCCAAGTGGGGAACCAGGACTTTTACCTCCAACTGGCAGTAATGAGGCAGCAAGCCCCCTTCCCTACCTGAGCAGTATCAGAGGAAGCCACCTAAAACAGAAGATTTAGGTAATATCCAGAGTCTGAGGACACAATATGGAAATGTCCAGGTTTCAACTAAAAATCACTCATTAGGGGCTGGCCCTGTGGCCGAGTGGTTAAGTTCACGCGCTCCGCTTCGGCGGCCCAGGGTTTCACGGGTTCAGATCCTGGGAACGGACATGGCGCCACTCGTCAGGCCATGCTGAGGCGGTGTCCCACATGCCACAACTAGAATGACCCACAACTAAAATATACAACTATACACTGGGGGGATTTGGGGAGAAAAAGCAGAAAGAGAAAAACAAAAGAGAAGATTGGCAACAGTTGTTAGCTCAGGTGCCAATCTTTAAAAACAAAACAAAAATCACTCATCATACCAAGAGCCAGAAAGATCTCAAACTGAATGAAAAAAGACAATCAACAGATGCTAACATCAAGAGGAGAGATGTTAAAATTATCTGAAAGGGATTTTAAAGCAGCCATGATAAAACAATTCAACAAGTAATTATAAACAGGCTTGAAACAAATAAAAAAATAGAAAGTCTCAGCAAAGAAACAGAAGATACAAAGAAGAACAAAATGGAAATTTTAGAACTGAAAAATACAATAACCTAACTAAAAAGTTCAGCAGATGGGCTCAGCACCAGAATGGAAGTGACGGAGGAAAGAATCAGTGAACTGGAAGACAGAAGAATAGAAATGACCCAACCTGAACAACAGAGAAGATGGACTGAAAATAAAGAGCAGAGCCTCAGGGATCTGTGGGACTGTCACATATAATGTAACATCCAGCAATGACATCTAACGTTCATGTAATTGGAGTCCTAGAAGGAGAGGATAAGAGACAGCAAGACTGAAAAATACTCAGACATAATGGCTGAAAACTTTCCAATTTAGCTCGCAACGTTTGCATACATTCAAGAAACTAAGCAAATCCTAAACAGGATAAATCCAAAGACATTCACGCCAAAACACATCATAATTAAACTTCCAAAAACTAAAGGCAAAGAAAAATCTTGAAAGCAGTGAGAGAGAAGTAATATCCTATCCACAAGGAAAAAACAATTAGAATGATAGCAGATTTCACATCAGGAACCATGGAGGAAAGAAGGAAGCGGCACATTTTTCAGATGCTGAAATAAAGAACTTGAACCTGGAATCTTACAGCCATTCCTTATCCACACCCTTCAAGAATAAAGAGGAAATCAAGACATTCTCAGATGAAGCAAAACTAAGAAAATTTGTCACAAATTTTACCCTAAAAGATTGGTTGAAAGAAGTTCTCTTAACCGAAGGGAAACAATAAGAGAAACCTTGGAACATCACGAAGAAAGACAGAACACGATAAGCAAAAAATACAGGTAAATACAGTAGGCTTTCCGTCTCCTCTTGAGTTTCTAAATTCTGTTTGAAAGTTGAAGCAAAAATTATACCAGTCTGTGATGTGGCTCTAATGTATGCAGAGGAGATATTTAAGACAATTATATTGTAAATGAAGGAAGGGATATAAACAGAAGTAAGGTTTCTATATTTCACCCTAACAGGTAAAGTGACGACACTGATAGACTGTGCTAAGTTATGTACATGTAATGTAATACCTAGAGCAACCACTAAAAAGGCCATAAAAAGAAATGCACTGTAAAACACTACAGATAAATCAAAATAGAATTCTAAAAAAATGTCCAAATAACCCACAGGAAGGCAGAGGAGAGTAAAAAGAAACAAAAAAATAACAGACAGAAAACAAAAAATAAAATGACAGACTTAAGCCCTAACATCAATAATTACACAAGCTGTAAATGGTCTAAATATACCAATTAAAAGACAGAAACTGGCAGAGTGGATTAAAAAATATGACTCAATTAAATGCTGTCTACAAGAATTTCCCTTCAAATATAGTGATAGAGACAGGTTAAAAGTAAAAGAAAGGAAAAAGACATATCACACAAACATTAATTAAAGGAAAGCAAGAGGGGCTACGTTAATATCAGATGAAGTAGATGTCACAGCAAAGAAAATTACCAGACACAGGTATGATAAAAGGCTCTATCTATCAAGAAGACAGCCTAAATGTGTATACACCCAGCAAGAGAATTGCAAAATTGTAAAGCAAAACCAGATAGAAATGAAAGCAGAAATAGAGAAATCCACAAATATAGTTGGAGACTTCAACACCCGTCTTTCAACAATTAATAGGACCACTAGACAGATATTCAACAAGGACACAGAAGAATTCAATGACACCATCAATCAGTCTAATTGACATTTATGGAACACTACCCAGTAGCAGCAGAATACACATTATTTTCAAGTGCTCACTGAACATATACCAAGATAGGTGATATTCTGGGCCATAAAACAAACCTTAACAAATTTAAACTTACTGAAATCATTCAATGTGTTCTCGGTGACCACGATAGAATCAAACTAGAAATCAGTAACAGAAAGATGACAAGAAAATGTCCAAACACTTGGAAACAAACAACACACTTCTAAATAATCCAAAGATCAAAGAGGACGTCTCTTAAAAACCTACGTTGAATGAATGAAAATGAAAAGACAACATACCAAAATTCTGGGGACACAGCCAAGGTAGTGTTGAGAGGGAAATTTATAGCACTAAATGCATATATTAGAAAAGAAGAAAAGTCTCAAATCAGTAATTTAAGCTCCTATCACAAGAACCTAGGGGAAAAAAGAGAATAATAAACCCAAAGCAAGAAGGAAGGAAAAAACAAAGAGCAGAAACCAATGAAACTAAAGGCAGAAAAATAGAGAAATCAGTGGAACAAAGAGTTTGTTTTTTGAAAATATCAATAAAATTGACAAACCTTTAGCAAGACTGACAGTTAAAAAGAGACGAGACACAAATACCAATATCAGGAGTGAAATGGGGCATATCACTACAGATTGCTACACATCCTGTAGATTTCAAAAGGAAAATAAGAGAAAAACTACAAACAACTCTATATCCACAAATTTGACAGCTTAAATGAAAGGGATCAATTCCTCAGAAAACATAAACTACCACAACTCCCCCAATATGAAATTAATAATTTGAATAGCTCTAAACTATTAAAGAAATTGAATTCATAATTTTAAAACTCCCCAAAAAGAAATCTCCAGGCCCAGATGGTTTCACGGATAATTCTTACAAACATTTAAAGCAAGAATTAACCAATTCTACACAACCTCTTCTAGAAAACAGAAGAGGAGGGAACGCTTCCCAGTTCATGTCATAAAGCTAGGATTACCCTGACACCAAAATCAAAGACCGTACAAAAGGAAACACCCCGCAACTACAGACCAACATCCCTCATAAACACAGATGCAGAAACCCTTAACAAACTATTAGCAAACAGAAGTCAGCAATATATAAAAAGGATTACTCACTATCACTCTGTGGGATTTATTCCAGGGATGCCAGACTGGTTCAATATTTGAAAAATCTAGGTAATCCACCATATTAATAGGCTCAAGAAGAAAATCACGTGATGTCAATCAATGCATAAAAAGCAGCAGACAAAATTCAACATCCATTCTTGATGAAAACTCTCATAAAAACAGGAATAGTGGGGAACTTCCTCAACTTGATAAAGAGCATCTACAAAAAACCTAGAGATAACATTATAATTAATGCTGGAAGACAAGGTGGGAACAAGACAAGGACGTCTGCTCTCACTACTCTTATTCAACACAGTGCTGAAAATCCTAGCCACTGAAATAAGGAAAGAAGAAGAAATAAAAGGTATACAGATCAGAAAGGAAGAAATGAAATTCTCCCTATTTGCAGATAATATGATTGTCTACGAAGAAAGTTCCAAGGAATGTACCAAAAAACTATTAGAATAAGTGAGTTCAGGAAGTTAGCAGAAACAAGCATACAAAAATCGGTTGTATTTCTATACACAACTAATGAACAAGTGGACACTGGAATTAAAAATACAATGTATCGTTTGCAATTGCTCAAAAAAAGAGAAATACTTAGGTATAAATCTGACGCAACACGTACAGGATTTGTACAGGCATATCTCAGAGACACCGTGGGTTTGGTTCCAGACCACATGAATTTTTTGTGTCCCAGTGCATATACAAGTTATGTTTATACTATACTGCAGTCTATTAAGTATGCAACAGCATTATGTCTAAAACAACAATGTGCACACCTTAATTAAAAAATATTTTATTGCTAAAAAATGCTAACCATCAACTACTGAGCCTTCAGTAAGTCCTAATCTTTTTGCTGATGTAAAAAACATAGTACCAGCAAAACTCAATAAAGCAAAGTGCAATAAAATGTGGTATTGCCTGTAGGCTGAAAATTATACAACACAGATGAAAGAAATCAAAGATCTAACTAAACAGGGAGACATATCATGATCATGGATGGGAAGATTCAACACACCAAAGATGTCAACTCTCCTCTAATTAATACACAAGTTTAACGCAATTTCTATCAAAATCACACCATGTTTTTTTAGATATAGCCAAGATCATTCTAAAATTTCTATAGGAAGGCAAAGGAATTAGAATAGCTAAAACAACTTTGATAAAGAATGAAGCAGGAAGAATGACGATATGATTTGAAGACTTATGACAGTAATCAAGACCGTATGGTCTTGTCAGAGGGATAGACAAAGAGATCAATGGGACAAATAGAGAACCTGAAACAGAGCTACACAAATATGCCCAACTGATTCTTGACAAAGTTGCAAAAGCAACTCAGCAGAGGAAAGACAGCCTTTCAACAAATGGTGCTGGAACAACTGGACATTCATAGGCAAAACAAAGACAAAAAATTCTCAAGTTGCCTCACGCATCTCATATTAAATTAACTCAAGCTAGATCATGGACTTAAATGTAAAACATAATGTAAACGCAAAATGTAAAACTATAAAACTTTTAGAAAAAACAGGAGAAAATCTGGGGATCTATGGCATGGCAAAGAGTTAGACTTGACATCAAAAGCACATTCATAAAAGAAGAGGCGAAATCACAACGGATAACAGAGAAATACAAAAGATTCTAAGAGCATACTATGAAAAGCTATATGCCAACAAATTGGACAATCTAGAAGAAATGGATAAATTCTTAGACTCTTACAACCTTCCAAAGCTGAATCAAGAAGAAACAGAGAATCTGAATAGATCAATCACAAGTAAAGAGATTGAAACAGTAATCAAATACCTCCCAAAAAATAAAAGTCCAGGAGCAGATGGCTTCTCTGGAGAATTCTACCAAACATTCAAAGATTTATTACCTCTCCTTCTCAAATTATTCCAAAAAATTTGGGAAGATGGAACACTTCCTAACACATTCTAAGGGGCCAACATCACCCTGATCCCAAAGTCAGACAAGGACAACACAAAGAAGGAAAATTACAGGCCAATATCGCTGATGAACCCATGTTCATCAAAAATCCTCAACAAAATAGTGGCAACCCAAACACAGCAATACATCAAAAAGATCATACACCATGATCAAGTGGGATTTATACCAGGGACACAGGGATGGTTCAACATCCGCAAATCAATCAATGTGATACACCACATTAACAAAATGAGGAATAAAAACCACATGATCATCTCAGTAGATGCAGAGAAAGGATTTAACAAGATCCAACATCAATTTATCATAAAAATTTTTAATAAAATGGGGATAGCAGGAAAGTACCCCAATATAATAAAGGCCATATATGACAAACCCACTGCCAACATCACACTCAACGGGGAAAAACTGAAAGCCATCCCTCTGAGAACAGGAACTAGACAAGGAAGCCCACTCTCACCACTCTTATTCAACAGAGTACTGGAGGTTTTGGCCAGAGAAACTAGGCAAGAAAAAGAAATAAAAGGAATCCAAATAGGAAATGAAGAAGTGAAACTCTCACTGTTTGCAGATGACATGATTTTATACACAGAAAACTCTAAAGAATCCATCGGAAAACTATTAGAAATAATCAAGAACTACAGTAAAGTTGCAGGGTACAAAATCAACTTACAAAAATCAGTTGCATTTCTATACTCTAATAATAAACTAACAGAACGAGAACTCAAGAATACAATCCCATTTACAATTGCAACAAAGAGAATAAAATATTTACGGATAAATTTAACCAAGGAGGTGAAAGACCTATATAATGAAATCTGTAAGACATTACTGAAAGAAATCGATGATAACACAAAGGAATGGAAAGATATTCCATGCACATGGATTGGAAGAATAAACACAGTTAAAGTGACCACACTACCCAAAGCAATCTACAGATTCAATGCTATCCCAATCAGAATCCCAAAGACATTCTTCACGGAAATAGCACAAAGAATCCTAAAATCCCTATGGGGCAACAAAAGACCCCAAATAGCTAAAGCAATCCTGAGAAAAAGAACAAAGCTGGAGGCATCACAATCCCTGACTTCAAAATATACTACAAAGTGGGGCTGGCCCCGTGGCCGAGTGGTTAAGTTCGCGTGCTCCGCTGCAGGCGGCCCAGTGTTTCGTTGGTTCGAATCCTGGGCGCGGACATGGCACCGCTCATCAAACCACGCTGAGGCGGCGTCCCACATGCCACAACTAGAAGGACCCACAATGAAGAATATACAACTATGTACCGAGGGGGCTTTGGGGAGAAAAAAGGAAAAAATAAAAAATCTTAAAAAAAAAAAAATATACTACAAAGTTATAGTGATCAAAACAGCATGGTACGGGTACAAAAACAGACACACAGATCAATGGAACAGAACTGAAAGCCTAGAAATAAAACCACAAATCTACAGACAGCTGATCTTCAACAAAGGTGCTCAGAACATACAATGGAGAAAGGAAAGTCTCTTCGATAAATGGTGCTGGAAAAACTGGACAGCCACATGCAAAAGAATGAAAGTAGACCATTATCTTTCACCATACATAAAAGTTAACTCAAAATGAATTAAAGACTTGAAGGTAAGACCTGAAACCATAAAACCTGTAGGAGAAAATATAGGCAGTACACTCTTTGACATCAGTCTTAAAATGATCTTTTCGAATACCATGTCTACTTGGACAAGGGAAATGAAAGAAAAAATAAACAAATGGGATTTCATTAGACTAAAGAGCTTCTGCAAGGCAAAGGAAACCAGGGTCAAAACAAAAAGACAACCATCAAATGGGATAAAATATTTGCAAATCATATATCTGACAAAGGGTTGATCTCCATAATATATAAAGAACTCACACAACTGAACACCAAAAAACAAAAAATCTGATCTAAAAATGGGCAGAGGATATGAACAGACATTTCTCCAAAGAAGATATACAGATGGCCAACAGGCACATGAAAAGATGTTCAGCATCACTAATCATCAGGGAAATTCAAATCAAAACTATACTAAGATATCACCTTATACCCATTAGAATGGCTATAATCACCAACACAAAAAATAACAAACGTTGGAGAGGATGTGGAGAAAAGGGAACTCTCACATACTGCTGGTGGGAATGCAAACTGGTGCAGCCACTAGGGAAAAGAGTACGGAGATTTTTCAAAAAATTAAAAATAGAAATAGCATACAATCCAGCTATCTCACTACTGGGTATTTATCCAAAGAACCTGAAATCAACAATTCAAAGAGACTTGTGCACCCCTATGTTCACTGCAGCATTACTCACAAAAGCCAAGACGTGGAAGCAACCCAAGTGCCCATCCACTGATGAATGGATAAAGAAGATGTGGTATAAATACACAATGGGATACTACTCAGCCATAGAGAAAGACAAAATCCTCCCATTTGCAACAACGTGGATGGACCTGGAGGGTACTATGCTGAGCGAAATAAGCCGGACCGAGAAAGACAAACACCATATGATTTCATTCACATCTGGAAGATAGACAGACAGACAGACAAAGAGAACAGTTTAGTGGTTACCAGGGGGAAGGGGGTTGTGGGTGGCACAAGGGGTCAAGGGGTGCACTTATATGGTGACTGACAAATAATAATGTGTACAACCAAAATTTCACAATGTCGTAAACTATTATGACCTCAACAACAACAAAAAAAGCACATTCATAAAAGGAAACAATTTTGATAAATTGTACCTGACCAAATTAAAACTTTTGCTCTGCAAAAGCTTCTGTTATGGATTGAATTGAGTCTCCTTAAAATTCACATACTGAAGTCCTAAACCTCAGCATCTTAAAATGTGACCTCATTTAGACACAGGGTTGTTGCAGATATAACTAGTTAAGATGAGGTCATAGGATGGACCCTGACCCAATATGACCAGTGTCCTTATTAAAAGGGAAAATTTAGACACAGAGACACAAACTGGAGAACGCCATGTGAGGATGAATGCAGAAATCTACAAGCCAAAGTACACCAAATATTGCCAGAAACCAAGAGAAGCTAGGAGAGGGGCATAGAACAAATGGTCCCTCACAGCCCTTGGAAGGAATCAACGTGGCTGACACCTGATCTCAGACTTCTGGCCTCCACAGGACTGTGAGACAATGAATTTCTGTTGTTTAAGGCCCTGAGTTTGTGGTACTTTGTTACAGCAGACACAGCAAATTAATACACCTCTATAAAGAGGATGAAAACACAGCTATAGCTTAGGAGAAAATATCTGCCAACCACATATCCAACAAAGGACTAGTATTTAGAATATATAAAGACTCTTAAAACGCAAAAGTAAAAAAGGAAACAATACAATTAGAACATAAGCAAATGATATAAAGAGATATTTCCCTGAAGAAGATGCACAGATGGTCAACAAGCACATGAAAAGATGGTCAATGTCATTAACTACTAGGGAAATTCAAACTAAAGCCACAATGAGATATAAATACACACCTATCAGAAAGGCTCAAATAAAACACAGTGATGACAACAAATGCTGGCGAGGATGGGGAGGAAGTGGATCACTCAGACACTGCTGGTGGGAATGCAAGGTGGTACAGCCACTCTGGCAAACAGTTTGGCAGTTAAAAAAAAATAACCCAAACATGCAACTAACAAATTATCTGACAACTGTACTTCTGGTTATTTACTTCAGAGAAATAAAGGCTTATATTCATACAAAAACCTGTATGCAAATGTTTGCAGCAGCTTTATTTGTAATAGCAAAAAACTGGAAACAATCTAGATGTCATACTATGGAATGACAATAAAAAAAAGGAACTATTGATACTCACAAAGGGAATGAATCTCCAGAGAACTGGGCTGGGCAAAAACAGCCAATCCCAAAAGGTTACATAATATATGATTCCATTTCTATAACATTCTTGAAATGACAAAATTATAGAAATGAAGAACAGATTACTGAATGCCAGAGGTTAAGGAGGAGATGGGGCAGAGGGGAAGTGGATGTGGTTATAAAAGGGCAACACGAAGCATCCTGTGATGATGCAAACGTCCTGTATCTTGACTGTATCAAGGTCAATACCCCGCTTGTGATATTATACTATAGTTCCACAAGAGGTTACCACTGGGGGGAACTGGGTAAAAGGTAAATGGGATCTCTCTGTATTATTCTCTACAACGGCATGTAAATGTATAATTAACTCAAAATAAAAAGTTTACGTGTTTTTGTAAAAAGAGGAAGTACAGGGACATTAGGAATGAAAATGAGTGAACTACTGCTACATGATGGCAAGCGAAAAGAGCCAGACACAAATAAGCATATGTTGTATTCCATTTGTGTGAAGTTCAAACACAGGCAATATTAAATTGATGGTGTCAGAAGTAAGCATAGTGGTTACCATTGGGGAGGAGAGTGCAGAAGGAGCAACAGAGGCACCTCTGGGCTAGTGGGGATGTTTCATTTTCGGACCGTGGCGGTGGTTACACCAGTATGTAATAAACCATTAAGGTGTGCATTTATGATCTGTGCAATTTTCTGTGCATGTTACACATTAATAACAATTTTAAAAGTTTATTAAATAAAAAAGTCTATACGACGAATAGGCCTGGGGATGGTGGACAGAGCAGCCACGAGCAGAGTGAAAAGGCACTGGGCTGGGAGGCGAGAGCCCTAGGTTTCCAGTCCCAGCTTTATTACTTCATTCACTAGCTCATGTAGCAGCTATTTACTGAGCACATGCTGTCTGCCAGGCGTTGGGGAAACACTTGTTGGGGATCCATCCGTGAATAACATGCAGCAGATGCCTTTAGGGATGGAGAAAATGAGTGAACACTGGAGGCTGGAGGTTAAAACAAAACAGGGACCATTGCAGGGACCAATGAAGACGTTGTGCCATGAACTGCTGAGTGTCATTAACTCAATTCTCTTCATCTGCAGGTGGGGGGGAAAAAAAAAAAGGGCAAGGCCCCTCATGGATCTTCTATTCTTGTGACAAGTTCCACAGAGGAAGACAAAGCCGCCCCTTCTTCTATACGGGAAGTCGGAAGTTAAGCAAACAGAGACAACCCATCATTTCATCTGATCCTTACAAAGCCCGATGAAGTAGGCCCGTTTCAACCTCGCAGTCTTTTAAGTGATTATCAGGAGGTTTTGAGCCTTACACAGGGTAAAGCAAGTACGGAAATCCCGGGACTCTAGAGAACACGGAAGGCGCGCTCACTTGGGGCGGGAGGGACGCAGAGGAGAGCCTTTCCCAACCACGGAGCGCGTGGGGCCGCGCGGGCCTAGCAACGCCCGCCCCATGCAGCTCTCGCCACAGCCAGGCCGAGAGGAGTAGCAGGGATGTTCGGACAGCGCCTTCATGCCCGTGATCTTCTTCGTCCCCCCACCACGCCGTCCGGCAGGGCGGTATTCTGTTCCTGCCTTCAAAAGGCTCCGAAAGGCCAACCACTTGCCCGGGGTCACATAGGCAGTGGGGGAGACGTGGGTCCTCCTAATTCCAATTCCTGCTCTGACCAAAGCCCCGGGGACAAAGGCCTGCCTCACGCTGACCCCACCTCTCCAGTTTACCTTCAGCAGGTTCTGGAGCGCTACAAAGCTCTCCGCCGTCAGCGCGGCCATCTTCCTCGCGTCACGTGACTGCAGCCTCGGCGGCGCGCGGTCACGTGGCTCCGGCGTCTGCCGCGGGGATTGCCGGGAGCTGTAGTCTCTCAGGATGGCGGGCGCTGCCAGGGTCGTGTCGCTGCGGGGAGCGGAGGACCGAGTGGAGCGAGAGGGTGGGGTAGCTCAACCTCGGGACGCGAGGCCCGTGGGACTGCGAGGCCACGGGCGCGGGATGGTTTTCAGGGGAGGACATTTGATTGGCTTGTCTATTTACCAGGTCAAGGGAAACTGATTTTCCCTTGACCCACGTTGGGGGGGCTGGCTGATTTGGAGGTGCACCTGCAAGCTTGGCAGGCGCCCTGGAAACGCAGCTGTTCTGGAGTGATCAGCGAACCCGGCCGCTTGGAATTAAAATGTGGCCGTGCTTATTGGAATTCTTGGAATTTACTCCTCCCCACATCTCGAAGACTATAAAACTGCTTTCATGTGTATAGTTTCCCTTCTGTCTATGGGGTAGGCAGGAGCTGGTATTATTGGCCTTATCCAGATGCGGAAACTGAATCACTTAGGGTTTTTAGTGACTTTCTCGTCGTAGTAGGGGGGATCTGTTTTGAAGTGCAAGTGCGGAGGTTTGGGAGAGGGAGTAGGGAGGGGAGAGGGGGTACGGAGGGAGTAGAATGAAAGATATTACCTACTAAGGTTCCTGTTACACCTGTGGTGGGGGTGCTTCATGAAAGTGATTAAATTCATTTATTCAACAAGATAATTATAATGAATGTGAGGAGGGGTTTTGAGTGGCAGTAAAGGACTCTGATTTGTCCAGTGCTCCTATCTCTAAACAGACTGAAATTGTAAAGTCATGGAACTTAGTTTTTAAGGAACCACCTGCCTCTTCTGCACCCAGACATCCCAGCCTGTGACTTTTCCCTTATCCACCCTTAGTATCTGGTTGGCTCTTTCTTTTTCCACCTCCACTTCCTTAGCAAAATTTGGCTCAAAACGGGTCTGATAAATTCACGCTAAAGAAAGAATGTCTAATTGTGAAATTCCGGAAATTGCTAAGCTGCTAAGGTCGTTTGTTCCTCTGCCTCTTGCTCCTCCTCCACCTCCTTCTCTCCATCTTTTTAGGAGGTGTTGTCCAAGCCCAGGAAAATAAACCCAGGTTGTCTAAGGATGAGCCCATACCTGGACTAGATTTTAGAAGCATATGGTCGTGGAGTCCTGATTCCACCTCTCTTTCTTGGCCTCTCCCTCTTCTCTTCCCCAGGACCCACTGGCTTGCTTCTTGTTTTCTGGTATAATTTGCTGTAAGCTCTAGGTTTACTCTTGCCTGTATCCATAGGGCCAGCCCAGTGCCCTGAGTGAATTGAGTGTTTCTTAAATAAACAACAATCCCCCCAAAGTGGTTAGACTAAAATTGCCTTCTGTGACTTTTCTGTGGGGAAATTGCCTTATTATTTGCAGGACTGTGGCTTCTTGTTTTACTCTAGAAAGATGGGCAGTGTGGTCACCAGCATCCAAGATGGCGCCCATGACCCTTTCTCCCTGGTGTTCACACCCTTGTGTTGTCCCCTCCTGCATTGTACCAGGATTGGTCTGTGTGTCCAGTTTCAGATGGAAGAAGTGATGGTGTGTCACTTCTAAGATTAGTTATAAAAGACTGCAGCTTCTGGGTACTCTCTCTTTGCTCTCTTTTTCTTGAATCTCTTACTCTGGGAAAAGCAAGCTGCCATGTGGTGAGCAGTCCTCTGGAGAGGTCCTTGTGGTGAAGAGCTAAAGACTCCTGCCAATAGCCAGCCAGAAACTAAGGCCACCCAACAACCGCATTACTGAGTTTGGAAGCAGATTCTCCAGCCCCACTAGAACCTTGAGATGCCAGTAGCCTTGGCCAACATCTTCACTGTAACCTCATGAGAGATTCTGAGCCAGAACCACCCAGCTAAGCCACTCCTAGATTTCTTGCCTTCAAAAACTATATGATTATAAGCATTTGTTGTTTTAAGCTACTAAGTTTTGGGGTAATTGTTACACGGCAATGATAACTACCCATGGAGGCAGTAAGGGAGAATAGCAGCTTTAGAATTCAACTGAAGTTTGAATCCCAACTCTACACATTATTAACTATCCCTTGAACAAATTCTTGAATTTCCCTCAGCCTCAGTTTCCACATCTGTAAAGTGATGTTGATCACGCCTACCTAAGAGAGCCAAGCTGAGTGACAGGTGCCGCCCCAGTAGGAGGATACTCAGCTGTCCTTGCCTTGGGGGCATGTGTGATATGAGGGGATCCCCCAGGCTCCAGTCGGTGCCAGGCAGGGCCTGCAAGCCTGCACCATGTCATCCCATTTTAGTCAGGCTGCTCCCATCTCCGCTACCATGTTGCATTTGAAGGTTTGTCTGTGGTCTGGAGAGCTTCCAGCAATTCCTAAACCGTAAACATTTTCAAGGGAAGGAACAGAACAGAATGTCAGAGTTCATTTCCGTGATTTGGTCTCACTGCCTGGTTTTTGTTAGGCCTAATCTGATTTCTTTCCAATTCTGTGTGTTTGAAGCTGTGCTTAATTTCATTTATTTAATAAACTTGCTGTGTGCCAGGCTGCATTTTAAAGCCTCTTACACTTGTTGATTTATTTACTTCAGATAACAATCTTATGTGATACGCACACAGAGAGAATACTATTATTTTTCCCATTTTACATGTGGGAAACTGAGGCATGGAGAAGTTAACTTGCCCAAGGTCACACAGCTAAGTAGCGGCAGAGCCCGGATTCAGACTTGAGCACTCCAGCTCCAGAGTCTGTACTGTTAACCACCAAGCTGTACCTGTCTCCTTGTCTTCCCAAGCTGGAAACTCATGCTTCCTCTGGAGGTCTGACTACCTTCCCCAGGCAGCAAGAACAATTTAAGCGTGTTGCTGGATGGTCAACCCAGTGGTTTGGTGGTTTGATGAGTGGAAGGGGTACCCTGGGCTTTGGAAAAAGGCCGAGGCTCAATGTCCGGCTCCTGTGTGCTTCTGGCAAGTTATTTCATCTCTTTGAACCTCAGGTTCCCCATCTGTGAAATGGGAACAACAATAATAAAAATACCTTTTGACGGTTAGGGGGAGCTCAATAATGACTTATACCCAAAAGGGAGAAGGGTTATTTATCTGAAGATTGCATTCCAGCCATTGGCAGCTCTAAAGAGCAGAGATTTCTTGTGCTATGGGAAAGGGTTGGTACCAAGGTGATCAACCATCTCAGTCCTCAGGGGTGAGGGGTTTCCTGGGACGTGGCTTTCAGTGCTAACCCTGGGACAGTCCTGGGTGAACCAGGCCAGCGGGTCACCCTTGTTTGAGCCCTGAGCCTTTGAAGGAAACTATCCTTTTGTAACTCTTGTCCTGTCTTCTCCGATGGGACTGAAGTGAAGAGAGCGATATAGATACTGATTTTCTTTTTGGTGAGGAAGATTGTCCCTGAGCTAACATCTGTGCTCACCTTCCTCTATTTTGTATGTGGGATGCTGCCACAGCATGGCTGAGGAGCAATGTGTAGGTCTGCACCTGGGATCCGAACCTGGGAACCCCAGGCTGCCGAAGCAGAGCATGCAATCTTAAGCACTACGCCACCGAGCCGGCTCCTAGAATTTTTTAATAGAAGATGCTTAAGGGCTGCAGTCTCAGGTTTCTTTCTTTCTTTCTTTTAAGTAATAGCTTTATTTAGGTGTAATTCACATATCATACAATTTCCCCATTTACAGTATGCGATTCCGTGGGTTTTAGTATATTCAGAGTTGTGTAACCATCACCACAGTCAATTTTAGAACATATTTACCACCCAAAAGAGACCCCATAGCCTTTAGCTATCTTTCCCCAGCTGTCTCCATCACACCCCAACCCTGAGCAACCACTGATCTCCTTCTGTCTCTGTAGATTTGCCCTTCTGGACACTTCCTCTAAATGTAAGCAGATGACATATCGTCTTTTTTAATGGTTTCTTCCACTTAGCATAATATTTTCAAGGGCTGTCCATGTTGTAGCATGTATCAGGGCTTCATTGCTTTTGATTGCTGAATAATTTCAATTGTGTGGATAAACCACATTTTGTTCGTGTATTCCTCAGTTGATGGACATTTGGGTTGTTTCCACCTTTTGGCTTTCATGAGTTATGCTGCTGTGAACACCCTTGAACAGGTTTTTGTGTGGATTTCTGTTTTCATTTCTCTGGGGGTCTATACCCGGGAGTGCAATTGCTGTGTCGTATGGTAACTGTGTTTAACTTTCTGAGGAGCTGCCAGACTGTTTCCCAAAGTGGTTGTACCATTGTACGTGCCCATCAGCCACGTACGAGGGTCCGATTTCTCCAAATGCTCACCAGTGCTCACTATTGCCTTTTGCCCGTAGCCATCCTAGTGGGTGTGAAGTGGTATTTCACTGTGAGTAATCTTGTTTTGAAGTTGCATTTGCACGGCAAGCACATTTTGTCACTTAGACTACTTATGTTCATTTGAGGTACTGATGGAGATTATGGGGCTCCAGCCCCAGCCTGCGCTCTGATCCTAGCACTAGTCCTGGCTGCCTTCCTTATCAGAGGAACGCCTGCAGGGGCGGACTAGGCCTCGGGGCCTGTAGTCCTTTAGGGACAGCCCCCCTCATTTTCCTGGTTTCCCTTTTCCTCACCCCAACTCCATGTATTAAGATGAGGGCAAGTCCAGGGAGAAGGGACTGCTGTGTCTTTTTGGTCCTGGGCACCTGCCCTAAGCCAAGCAGTAGCTTGGAAGTGGCCTGAGCAGCTCACTGGGACACTGCAGGCAAACTGGGGACAGGAGACCTGAAAATGACCTGCATGCACTGGCTCGGAAATGCTACCCTTGTCCAGATGGGGCACCACAAGCTGTGTGATTTGGGACTCACTCTACACTAACAATATCTTAGGTAACACTGTGTTTCAAAATTGGGAGATCTAACATAAAAATCCAGTTTTCTGGCTTTTCTTTAAAAACTGGCAGGCCTAGCCATGCTGTTTCCACCTAAACGCGTTGCAGCTG